TATTTAGTTGATTAAAAAAAATTATAAAATAGATTACTATAAATAGAATTATTATTCATCATTCTAAGAGAATAGTCATTCTATATGAGAGTTTAAGAGATGATCATTTCAACTCATTATAGTGAATTAAGGCCTCGTTTGTCAACTATGACATGGGTTGGTTTTTTAATTTTTTGACTATTTTAGGTTCAGTCTAAAAAAACCCGTTTGGGGTAAGTTTTTTTTGACTTTTTTGACTTTCGTGGGAGAAAAAATAAAATTATTATGGGTTAGATGTGACATTTTGTCCTATTTGATTAAAATAGCATATTTTGTTCTATATGGCTATTTTAGTCCAAACACTCATCCCAAACGAGGCCTATATATTTTAGTAAAAAAGTCAAAAAATCACTATAAGTTGTCAAATCACGCTATTTACTTTTCTGCATATCTTTTAGTAAAAAGTCAAAAAATTATTTAAATAGTATGTTCACAAACGATACATAAATAGAGCATAAAAGGCCTATTTTGAAATCAATTAATTTGAATCATTTAGGCTGTGTTTGGTGTGGAGTTTTAATAATGACTCCATGCCCATATTTGAATGTGGTGTTTGGATACAAATTTCAAAAATTAATTCCACACTCACTTTTGAAAACTCGTTCTAAGCGGGGTTTTTAATTTTGAAATTTTGCATACCCGGTCATCCTCTTAAATGTCCGGCCGGTTGACCGAAACAATACTATTTTTTTTTGGGGGGGGGAATTGACACTTGTTATTTTTTATATTTTAAATAAAAAAATATTTTCATAATTTTTTAAAATTTTGTATGAGCTTTGACTAAAATTTTGGGTTGTGTGTTTGGTTATGAGTTGTAAGTTTTTGAATCAAATATCATACGTCACATCAAAAATTCTAAACTCAAGTCAAAACTTGTTTCAAAACTCATAACCAAACAATTTTTTCACACTCAAATCATAATTCCAAAACTCACAAACACAAAATACAACTCTATTCTCAAATCATAATTATAAAACTCTACCAAACGCTATCTTAATTTTTTTTGTACATTTTGAGTAAATCATGCATGAAAAAAATTATAGTAGTTGGATATTAGTAATTATCTATTTGGATCATATTTGTTTTTTAAAAAAAAAATCTATTTTAAAACTGTATTTGTCGTTCATTTTTTAACGCACAAATATATTTAAACACATGACTATTGATATTTGACCTATCTAACTTTTTGTATGCATGATCTAATAGAAACATACAAAAAAATATATATATATATTTCAGATCAATAAAGTGAGCTTAAATTGGGCAATCGGCCAAACAGGACCCATCGCAAGTCATATTTTAATGATAGGCATTATGTATTTTATAAAACATTTTCTTGCATATAATCAATGAAAAAATTACTAATTCCACAATTATATATATTTTTTATTTTAACTTATTTGTCTCTAAAACAACAGATAATATATTTTGAAAAATACTTATTAATTATTTTTCCCAAAACAAACGTGATAAATAAAAAAGTTATAATTATCATATTAATATAACTTTTTAAATAAATAATATATATTGAGAGTCTTACAAAATGAAAAATTCATATTATCGATACAGAATGCACGATGGATACCATAAATCTTTCAAATTCTTTCAAATTTAAATTTAAACTTAAAAGAAACTCAACATTATTTCTATTTACATTTCTCATTCACATATTTATATATCCCAACATAATTTTGTTAATTTGATTGAATTATACAAATGGATAAAGGGTATACTCGTCAATGCATGTGAAAAAAAATTGGGACTAAAACTAAAGTTTGGCATACCTGAGGCTCCGTTTGGCAAGAGTTAAATGGGGTTTTTTTGACTATTTTAGCCACAAAAGACAAAATAGGCTATTTTAGCCACAAAAAACAAAATATCACATCTAACCCATAATCATTACATTCTTCTCTCACAAAAAAAGTCAAAAAAGCCAAAAGCCCTTCCCAAACTAAACTTTTTAGACCAGGCTAAAATAGCCAAAAAAACCAAAAAGCCAAAAAGCCAACCCACTTCCCAAACGGAGGCTCAAATAATCCATCTTTTTATCTTTTTTCCATCACATCACCTCCCTACTTTCTGCACATCTTTTCGTAAAAAGACAAAAAATACACTTATTTAGGTCATCCTAAACAATCCCTAAACTAAGACCGAAGGAAAATGGGTAATTTTATTTCCACACACCAAATCCTCTCAGTGCACATATCTTCTCAAGACACGCACTTAATAATTTTTAAATATCAAGTTTTACTCGGCCTCGCTTTTGGGGACTAGCCGGTTTAGCCAAAAAGTTACTAAAAAAGTCAAAAAGCCAACAACCCATACCAAAAAGTTAAAAATTCTATTTTCTCTCTACTTTTTACACATCTTTTCGTAAAAAATAAAAAAGTCATTCCAAACATATTAATTTTTTTTAACTCATATTTTAGCCAAATAACAAAAAAAATTACTAAATTAGCCTATTTCCAAACGAGGCCTGTATGTCAAAAATATTCCTAATTCATTCAAACCTAATCTAACCTAACCTAACCCTACCCACCACTCACCGTCACCATCGCTGCCATGAACCATTGTAGCCCCACCACGCCAACACCACTAGAACATTAGTTTCAAGGTCACATATTAAACATTTTTGTAGAAATAAACGTAGCATTAAATTGTCTACCGTATTTCTAGTTTGGAAAATGTTTTCTTCTTCTTCTTTTTTTTTTTTTTTTCACTAGTTTGGACCATGTAATTTTTGTTGTTTTTGCATATTTTCATTCAGGAAATGGTCTACATGAATCCAGCTAGAAGAATTTTAGCTCATAGTGCGCTTAAGCATGCATGCTTCAAGAATGAAAAATAAGAATAAGATGATGATCCTTGATTCCATATCATTCACTTTTGTTTATTGTTCACCGCGGGTGATGGCTGAGGTTAGCTTTAGAAACTTAAGATTTTGATAGAAAATATAAGAATATTATGTGAGTGCCTGGGAAATGAGTTTTTTTGTGATTAGATGTGATGTTTGCGAGAAAAAAAATGAAATGATTATGGGGTTTGATGTGATATTTTGTTTGGATTTGCTTTTTTTTTATTTTGTAAAACATTTGTCTTGTAGTGAAAAAAAATAAAAAAAAAACCTAAAAACCAAGTTGCCAAACACTGCCATGATAATTTTATTTTAAGATAAAATTATAACAAAATAAAATATTATTTGAATAAAGAGAAATAGAAGCTCCCAAGAAAAATGTTATGAATTCTAAATAATTTATTAAATTTTTTATCAAATTTTGATATAAGTGTAAAATTCACACATACTTATATATGTGTGAGTCCTACACTCATATAAAAAATTTGATAAATTATTTACACTATGTTTGGATTGAGTGATTTAGAGAGAAAATAAAAGAAATGGAGAGATATGTATTTCTCTTACGTATTTGGATAATTTAAGTGGGGAGAAATGGAAAGAAACGAAAAGAAACTCATTTATTTTATAACCCTCATTTTCAATAGTGGATAGATTTGGAAGAGAAAAGAAATCAACAGATTTTTGTATTTTCATAATACTAATTTTGTCCCTGTAAAAATAAAAGAAATAAAACGATTGACACCCATGTCCTTAGGGGCTTTTCATATACAGCAAAAGGTTATTTTGGTAATATAACACAAAAATATATATATTTTTTTCTCTTATAAAACTTAACCAAACAAGAAGGAAAAAAATCACAATAATTTATTTTATTTTATTTCTTACTTATCTAAATAAAAAAGAGAAAAATTACGGCTATGTTTGGTTGTGAATTCAAAACGTGATTCTACACGTGAACTCCAGCTTCACGTTTGGATACGATGTTCAAAAGTTGATTCAGCGTGTTAATTCAAATTAGATTTTGAAAATCCGTTTGGCTGTATATCCACTTTCAACGTTTCTGAAAAACTTCCATGTCCTTCTCTTCCATCGTCTCTGTTTCACGTGAACCTTATCTGTGTATCAAACCTTGGGGATGACCGGGCGGTAGACCATGGGGATGACCGCCCGGTAGACCTTGGGGATGACCGGCCGGTTGTCCTCCTCTCTGAAGATGAACTGGCATCAATTATTTTATAGAAAGGTGAGGTTCAAAAGGTTCAGAAATGTGAGATTTTATTCAGATTTTCTATCAATTATTTTAGAAAAAAATTAAAAACGTATTTTATAAGAAGTTTGTACAGGCGTAAAAAATAAATTGATAGAAAAATTAATTGACACAAAATAATTGACATAGGTTTATTTTAAAATGACAAAATTATTTGAAAAAAAAAAATTTGAAAAAAAATTAATTGACAAAAAAATGGTATTTTTAATGTCAGTATTTTAAAAATAGTTTGGTTATTATTGTTGATAAAAAATATGGATATCGATAGAAAAATTAATTGGCAGAAAAAAATTGACATCGGTTTATTTTAAAATGAAAAAATTATTTCGAAACAACAATTATTCAAAAAAATTACTAAAAAAAATAATTGACAAAAAAAATCAATTTTTAATTTCAGTATTTTAAAAATAGTTTGGTTAATATTGTTGATAAAAAATATGGATATCGATATATGAGTTGTGTGTTTGATGATAAATTATTAGTTGAATTAAGTTTTGAAAATTATTTTCAAAACACATCACTAAACAAATTTCACCTTTCACATGTCACATCAAACTTTCAAAACTTAATTCAAAATACATCTTCAAAACACAATTCAACACTCTATTTAAAAACCATAACCAAACAAATTTTCTACACTCAAATCATAATTCTACAACTCACAAACTCAAAATACAATTCATACTCTCAAATCACATTTACAAAACACAACCAAACACAGGCAACAATTTTTTTTTTCTTCCCTTCTCTTTTATAACTTAACTAATCATTTATTTATTTTCTCAAATAGCCAAACAGGGTGTTAAGGGCCTAGCATAACTCATGACCGTAGGCGGGCTTCAATTCAACAGACAGACACAAAAAAAACCCTTTCGAAGCTCTTATCTTTTCGCTCCAAGCATCGCTTCGCATCCCATTTGGTTTTGTAGAGAGAGAGAGAGAGAGAGAGAGAAAGAGATCAGTGAAGAAAGGATCCAAAAATGGCGGTGTCACTGGGTGTGTTTTCGAGTATCTTAGCCGGCGATACATCGTCGCTAACCAAGTCGTCGTCGTCGTTGTCTTATCCACGGCTCGGTCTTCATCAGTCAGTTCCTCCTTCTCAGGTTAACCTGCGCTCTGTGCGCACGGTAACTTCCGCCACAGCGTCGAAGCCGGCGACGGACGCCGGAAAGAGAGAGCCGAGAGGCATTATGAAGCCCCGCCGTGTTTCGCCGGAAATGCAAGCGTTCCTCGGCGGCGTCCCCGAAATCCCTCGCACCCAAGCCCTCAAGCTCATTTGGGCTTATATCAAACAACACAATCTTCAGGTCTCTCCTCATACACACAAATAACCACTCTAAAACCCTAACACTTATATTTGGTTTTTTTAGATTATTCTTATATCAGTAGAAGATGGTGTTTTAAATGGATTTATAGGTTTTTTTACTATTTAATTATATATATTTTTAAATATCACTTAATTTTATTGTGTTTTTAGTTATTCTTATATCAGCAGATGGACTTTCTCTGATTATGATTGGATGCTAAGTTATTGTTGGAGTAGATAGAATTTGAGCTTTAAAAGTATTGAACTTGGGGAATTTTTGCTACAATTTTTTGGGCATCAACCAATTGAAGGAGACATTAATGCTTTCTTCTTCAAATATGTTAGTTTTATTAAGTTGTTTATTTATTTTGTCTGTGTGTGTTTGTGTGGTTTCGTGATTCTCTTTGTTAGAATTTGTGTTCTTAACATTCTTATAGGTGGGATAAGGTTGTGTTGGCACCAGTGTGGATTTTCTTACTATTTATATAGTTGACTTTGATTCTATTGGGTCTTTACATTAGTTATGAGCTTTGTTTAGTTATTTTAGTGTTTTGGGTAAGTTGCATGGTTATGAGTTAATAACTTACTGTTAGAGTGTTTTAATATCTGGATAATACTGTTAGTTGTAGATGAAACATGGCCCTGTTTATTAGAATATGCCAGTTTAGTTCTATTGATTTTCTAAGGTGTTTGGATTATGGATTTGGATAGGGATTTGAAAAGGAAAAGGGATAAGGTAGGTGAAATCTTTCAAAATCCCTACTCAAATCCATAATCCAAACACAGCCTAAGTGGAGTTTATTTGTCAAATTTTGGATGTCTATGTTCCATGGCTATGAAGTTGTGCTTCTTTAGGTTGGAAATGGGTTCATTTTTAGGTTTTCACCATATGCCATTTTTTGCTATTTGGGGTTTTCTCCAGTGGTTTATATGCTTTCCTGATTTCCTTATATATTTTGCATAAAACTTCTTTTTTTTTAGATGGGTTTAAGCTTGGTTTTATTATTGTTTTGTCTTGGGTTCAAGATATCTTTGAAACTGATTATCCATTCATTTTCCTTGCTAACGGAATTACACACAGCCTGCAAGTGGCACTGCGTACTTTGGAGTGATGTTGTCATTCATAGTAAAACTAGTACTGCATTTTCTTGTTTAAAGTATAGTGGAAACAATCCCTAAACGCTTTGCCCTGATGCATTTTTTGGTATATTGAGGCTTCTTGTGTTTTAGCAATTTAATGAGACATAGATCGATCAACTAATTGCAGCCTATTATTATATTGATGAAGAAAATAATCAGGTAGGAGATAGGAAAAAGTACTGGTTGTGCATATAGTTGCTGTCAGAATTTAAGCGAAGGGTAAAGTTGGCTAAGATAGTAATTCTATTTTTTTTTTTGGTTACATAAATTTGTTATAAATTGCATACATCTTGTGTGACATGTTGCAATGACTAAAAGTAATACACATCCTGCTGCTATGTGAAGAATTTTGAGGGAAGCCTTTTGAAGAACGCCCGTGAGATGGGAAGCTATCAGTGCAATGAAGAAAAAGAGCTGTAGCTGTGCATTAGGCATGGTAAAAAGAGTCATGCAAAATAAACCTACGTTCTATTGCCAGAATGGATCCAAGCACCAATCATGATGGACCATCTTGCCCTACTAAACAAAAAAAAAAAAGAAAAAGAAAAAAAAGATGGACCATCTTGCCCTTGGTGTCAGCAAGGTTGTTAAAATCGGGATCCTACGTTGGATCGCTGGAGGTGTTTATAGGATCGGATCGTAGAATCGGATCGAAAATTTGTAAGATCCTACTGAGAAAGACAGATTACAAAATGAGCCTATATTCTATTAAAAATAAGTGAAGATATTGTGAAAAATATATACTCCATGTAAAATGTACATATAATATTGTACAATAGAAAGCTCGATGGTAAAAGTTTTGTATTTCTTTAAAAAAGAAGGTGAAGAAGAAGAATTTTATAACAAAATACTTTACAATCTACAATAATGCATAAAAAGTGAAGAAAAAATATTTAACCAAGTTAGATATGAAAATAGATTAAGAACTTAAAAGGGTAACTTAACTGAATGATAAGTTTTGTCGTTAGCACCCCTGGTGGAGCGGATTCAAGTCACAAAAATAATCTCTCCAAAATTTGGGATAAAGTCGCAATCATCTTACCTTTTTTAGACTCCACTAAAGCTAAGTTTGTTTTTCTGACTATTTAATTTTCTTAAATTACCGCAATATTTGAATGTTTGTTTCCTAATTTGTTTTTCTTAGTCTATTTGATTCAATACTACTTAATTTTTATTATTTATTTTGACCACATAAATTGGTATTTAGACAACAAACATAAAATTTACAATAAAATATGTCATACAATACAAATCAAGGCTTGTAAATAGGATCGGATTCGGATCGGGATTTCACGACCCTATAAGATCCCACTACTATGATCAAAAGATTCTACCTATAAGGAGTTTTTTACATGATCCGGATCGATTGTACTCAAATGAATCGTAAGATCCGGATCGGGATTCTGATAACCATGTGTCATGACCTCAGAATTTGTTCAAAGATGCTACAATTTAGTCATTATGCCCAAATTTCCTTTCTATTGCCCGTGTGTGTCTATACATGCATGTAGCTTACACTTGGTGTTGTAGTAATAGGAATAATTGTCTTGTTTGTGGATTGAGATATTTGAACTGGTTACCCCAGCTGATGTTGGCTAATATTGGGGAAAGTCGTGGGCTACTTTGCTTTCCCCATTGATGGTATTAGTCTGGAAAAATGATCATGTTTGAAGATGTGGGAGCTGGTCTGTTCTCTTATACGAGTAAAGTCTTTGATACGAGAGATCTTTTTATGTAATTTTTCTCTTCTGATTTATTATTATTATTTTTGTCTATTTATGCTCTGTTTACACGGATAGGTGTTGGAGTCTGACAGTGTTACACGTACATTGGGTAGTATCTGATAAATTTAAACATGAAATAACTTGTTTCTTATATTCTTTTTGGTGAAAACAACTTGTTAGCTATTTAACCATTTGTTGCTATCTATATGCTAAATGATTGAGGTGTTTTCATTTCCAATGTTAGGCCTTTTGACAGAATTCAAAGGAGTTACTAGTAGCTGTTAACTGTCCAGTGGCGGACTTGGGTAAATAGAGCCTCAAAAAGCTTTAACCACCAGTAATGTTATATGTATATGCATATTTATTCCTCCGAAGTAGCTGTAGTTAATTTTTTAACCATTTCCTTTGCTAATATACATGAATGTAATGAGCATTTTTTTTTTTAATAAACGGTTTGTTAAAACTTTCACAATTAGTTGCCAACAAGTCATTTTTTATGCTGACATGTTTTTTTTCTTCTGATTGTTAGGATCCTGAAAACAAGAAGGTCATAATCTGTGATGAAAACCTGAAGAAAATTTTTGCTGGGCGAGACCGAGTTGGGTTTCTTGAGATTGCGGGATTGATGAATCCTCACTTTCTTAAGTGAGCCCTTGCAGGAGAATGGATTTTGATTTTCAAAGTCATTGATGAATCTGTTCTTTTGTAAATGAGGGGTCTCAGTATTTTGTTGATGATACTACTTGTAGGATTTAGCAGTGCTCTATATGCGTTGTAGTTTTTTGTTTTTGAACTTCTTCCAGTTGCCTACCCATGAGCCTCACTCTATTTTGGTTTTAACGAGTGTTTATGCTCATTTTGTGTTCTTGTTATGTAGGCTACGGATCGGAATGCAATATTTGTAGTGACTGTCAATTTCTGGTTTAGATATCATGTTAAGTTTTAGAGGAATCTGATATTCATAAGTTATTGCTATTCTCTATCCCTATGACATGCAAGCAAAGGCATCTTTTATGGAACGCTAAAATAAGTTTAATGCATTACAAACACACAAAATAGTCGAGAATTGTCTGCGGAATAAAAATTATAGAAAAAAGGAGAAGCATGGACTATCACAAAGTAATATTTCAGTAAAAATCTTAGTTAATTACATCTCATTTATGAATTTGTATATATTGACATTTTTAATTATAAAAGTCGTACAAATATAATTTTTTTGAGTGATTTGTATAGGTTGAAAGTGATTAGGGGTGTAAATTTGTCCCACCGAACCGCAGCTCACTGAAGTTTGCTTGCGGCGCGGCTTGGCTTGGCTTGGCTCATCGGCTCACTTAAGACTTGGCCCATTCAAGGTTCGGTATCATTTTTTGTGAAAAAATAAAATTGTGGTTAAAAAAATAAATAAATGGTTAGGATCTACCCAAGATCAAACTCAGGCCCGCTGGCTTGGCTTGAGGCTCACAAGCTTGTCCGAGCAACCCTCGGGCTTGGGTCTGGGCCTATTTTTTTGACCCATGATTGGGTTTAAATTCTGGCGAGAGCCTATGCAGTTCTATAGTGGATCAGTCCAAGCTCAAGCTTGGATGGGCCGGCCAAATTTACACCTTTAAAAGTGATACATTTTTATAATTAAAGGAATCAAAATATATTAGTTAATATATGCTATAGATAAAGTGATATTTACTAATAATTGAGAGAGTTTTAATATAAATAACCTTATAAACTTTTGTAAAATAAAGAGAAATTATTAATCAAAAAAGTTTTTTTTTTAAAAAAAAGAACTTATGAAACCTAAATAATTACTTATTAGTTCCTAAAATTTTCACTTTCTTTTCGTATTAAAATTTTTCAATTCATTTCGAATTGACTTGAATTATGATTCGTTTGGCATTGACTTTTTTAGTCAATTTTTTTTGTGTTGTAACTTTTTTAACTTGACTTTTTTAGACTCGTTTGATTTTTTTTTTGAGATTTTTTTGACTTTTGCGAGAAAAAAATGTAATAATTATGAGTAAAAAGTAATATTTTATCTTATTAACTTATATAGCTTATTCTGTCTTTTTTTGTGATTATTTAACTCCAAAATGTTATCCAAACCATGGCTTACTAAACTAAAATGAAAACAAAAGTATAGGCCTTATTTTGGGCCTAGTTTGGCATACCAGAAAAAATTCAAAAAGTTAAAAAGTTATTAAAAAAGTTAAAAAGTTATCATTACTCATAAATTGAAAATATAAAAAAATTAATTTACACGATATTTTAATACAAATCAACGAGTTGACAGTGCTGGTACTGAATTGATGGTTCATAAGTAGGTATTGGTCTGTCAAAGGAGCAAAAAAGAAAATTAGATATATATATATATTCATTAATTTGGAGGGTAATGTTGGGCCCGTGGGGGCCCATCATGGGTTCGTTTTGATAATCCGAACCGTGCAATGTGTAGAACTCGTCGAATACTATATGTCTGTAAAAAATCACGTTGATCGGATATAGATAGCTATGTGATCAAATTAGATTTTTTCCAGCCATTTATTTTTCACCGTCCATTAATTTTATACAAAACTGTTTTGATCACATAATTATCGATATCTGATTAAAGTGATTTTTCATAAGCATATAGTATTTAAGGAGTTCTACACATTCAACGGTTCGAATTATTGAAATGTGACCCGTGATGGCCCCCACGGCCCAACAGTACCCATGAAGCCTCGTGCACCATTTCAGCCAAGCCGTACTATCCTTCTGCCGCCTGTCACTTATGAGTCTACGATGTAGGGGTAAAAGCGTAATTTTGTCATTTTATACAATACTTTAATATATATTTTTTTCTAAAAAAATAAAAAGTTATCCTAAAGAATCATTTTTTTTCCAACTTTTTAGTCTAAAAAGTCAAAAAAATACACTTATTTAGGAAATTTTTTTAAAAAATAAATTTTGTAATTTTTTTAAAAAAATTTTGTTTGATTTAGTGATTTTGAATTTTTTTTTTCAAAATTACTTTTTATCTCTCACCCATCAATCAAACATTTTTTCTCCTATACACATCTACTCAATTACAGTAAAATATCAAATCATCCCAACCTTTTATACTCCAAAACTATTTTTTAAATGGGTATGGCTTCTGTCCAGTCCGGGATTGGACTGGACCGTGCTGTTGGGCAATGGGGGCTCACCACGGGTCCCGTTTTGATAATTTGAACCGTTAATATGTAGAAATCGTCGAGTACTATATGCCTGTAAAAAATAACGTTAATCGGATATCGATAGTTATGTGATCAAAACAGTTTTTTGTCAACCGTTAATTTGTTCACCGTTTAATTTTTTTAATATGAAACTGATTTGATCATATAGCTATCGATATTCGATCAACGTGATTTTTTACAAGCATATAGTACTTGACGAGTTCTACATATTGAACGGTTCAAATTATCAAAACAGGACCCATAATAGACCCTCACAGACCCAACAACAGGATCCAATCTGATCCCAAACTGGACAGAAGCCATACCCTTTTAAAATATACAACTAAACGCACACATTCAAGACTTCCAAGAAGGAGCAGATTTTTGTGTTAGTCCCAGTCCCACACTCCACCACAGCAGTCAGCTAGGTTCTCTGTTTCATGGCGGACAAGCTAGCTCTCCCTCTCCTCCTCCCAACTCCCCCACCCCCAAAACCCTTCTTCCAAGACCACCACCACCAGAAACCCACCATTACTCCACCACCACCACCACCTCCTCCTTCTCCCCTGAATCCTCTCCTCCAAGACCTCCTTCCTCATCACCAAAATTCTAACAAAAACTCCCCACAAACCCAAAACCCCCAATCTCCCACCCATAGAACTCGGCGCCGCATCGGCAAAAACGGAGACCCTAACAAAGGCAAGCCATGGTCTCACCACCACCTCTCCCCCCAAGGTCAGCGAATTCTTCAAACCCTAATCGACCCAGGTTTCGATATATCTGAAATCGACGATACTCTGCTCAAATTATTCAATTCAGAACGAATTGAAGATTCAGAATTGTGTGCACTCGAGTCTGTGTCTTTGGATGTTTTGGGTTTAATTAAGGGTTTAGGGTACCACAGGAAATGTGAATTGGCCATGACTGTGTTCGATTGGGTTCGGCACCGTAACGATTGGGAAGTAGTATTAAATGGGTCAGCTGTTGCTGTGATTGTGACTCTTCTTGGCAAAGAGGGTCGGGTTTCGGCCGCGGCTTCTTTGGTCCATAATTTACACAATGATGGTTTTGCTCTTGATGTTTATGCTTATACTTCTTTGATAACTGCTTGTTCTAAAAATGGGAGGTATAGAGAAGCTGTTATGGTGTTCAAGAAAATGGAGGAAGAGGGTTGTAAACCTACATTGATCACTTACAATGTGATTTTAAATGTTTATGGGAAAATGGGTATGCCGTGGAATAAAATTATCGCGGTTTTTGAGGGGATGAATAGTTCTGGGGTTGCCCCTGATGCATATACTTATAATACTCTTATAACTTGTTGTCGACGCGGGTCATTGTATGAAGAAGCTAATGGGATTTTTAAGGAGATGAAGGTAGCAGGGTTTGCCCCTGACAAGGTTACTTATAATGCCTTATTGGATGTGTATGGGAAGTCTAGGCGGCCTAAGGAAGCCGTGGAGGTTTTGCGAGAGATGGAGGCTAATGGGTTTTCCCCTAGCATTGTAACTTACAATTCCTTGATATCGGCTTGTGCTAGGGATGGTCTATTGGATGAAGCTATGGAGCTTAAAAACCAAATGGTGGGTAAAGGCATTAAACCAGATGTATTTACTTATACAACACTCCTGTCAGGATTCGAGAAGGCTGGGAAGGATGAGTCTGCAATGAGGGTTTTTGAGGAGATGAGAAATGTGGGTTGTAAACCAAATATCTGTACCTTTAATGCTCTTATTAAGATGCATGGTAACAGAGGAAAATTTACCAAAATGATGAAGATTTTTGAGGATGTCAAGGCGTGTGGATGTGTCCCGGATATTGTTACATGGAATACGTTACTTGCAGTGTTTGGGCAGAACGGGATGGACACAGAAATGTCAGGTGTGTTCAGGGAGCTGAAGAGAGCAGGGTTTGTAGCTGAGAGGGATACTTTTAACACGTTAATCAGTGCTTACAGTCGATGTGGATCTTTTGACCAAGCCATGGCTGTTTACAAGAGAATGTTGGATGCCGGAGTCACTCCTGACCTTTCCACCTATAATGCTGTTTTAGCTGCATTGGCACGGGGAGGGCTATGGGAACAGTCTGAGAAAGTACTTGCTGAGATGAAAGATGGTCGGTGCAAACCCAATGAGCTAACGTATAGTTCTTTGCTACATGCTTATGCCAATGGGAAAGCAATTGAACGGATGCAAGCTCTTGCAGAAGAAATATACTCTGGTGCAATAGAACCCCATGCTGTGCTATTGAAGACCCTTGTTCTAGTTAATAGCAAGAGTGGCCTTTTAATGGAAACAGAGCGGGCTTTCATGGAGTTGAGATTAAGAGGTTCTTGTCTTGACATAACTACTCTGAATGCTATGGTTTCCATTTATGGTCGGAGGCAGATGATTGCCAAAGCCAACGAGATAATGAACTTCATGAGGGAAAATGGATTTACTCCTACCTTGACCACTTACAATAGTTTGATGTATATGTACAGCCGATCTGAGAATTATAAGAAATCTGAAGAGATATTGGGTAATTTATTAGCAAAAGGAATCAAGCCTGATGTAATTTCATATAACACTCTGATTTTTGCATATTGCCGAAATGGTCAGATGAGAGAAGCATCACGGGTATTCACGGAAATGATTGAATCTGGTCTTATTCCAGATGTGATCACCTATAATACATTTGTTGGAAATTACGCTGCTCGTGCTATGTTTGTGGAGGCCATTGATGTGGTTCGATACATGATCAAACATGGCTGTAAACCGAACCATAGCACGTACAACTCCATTGTCGATTGGTATTGTAAGCTTGATCGCCGTGATGAGGCAATCATGTTTGTCAATAACCTTCACAAGCTCGATCCACATGTTTCTAAGGACGAAGTATCCAGATTGTCAGAACGTTTATCAAAGAAATAACTATAGAAGATCCTCTTCTAAATGGGATTACATCCCAGTTGGCATGCTCTCTAGCCTCTGAAGCCTCTGAAACTTGTAGGCATCCTCTTCTTTCAGCGAACTTCCTCTGCCCGTGTCACATGTTATTCTGGCTTGATGATGGGAGGAATTTGATATACTTGTACATTATTGAGAATTTTGTAGCAGCCGATTCAAGGGTCATGAGCTATTTGCTTGTGCAATTGTATTCTTGTACATCTGGTGATGCCCTGTGTAGCTCATATAAGTAGTGATCGAGAAGTTGAATCACATTAAGGTATATACAATAAGCTGTTCTCCTTCATAGCAGTCACATAAGAAACTGATTTGTGTAACAGGGAGATGGTATCTGTCATATTATAGCATAATAGTATTAGTGTGTTTGGTTTGAGTTTTCTGGATTAAGTTTTTTGAAAATTGAATTTTTTGTGCCTTTTTTATTTTTTTTTTTTGCCTTTTTTTTTTTTTTTTTTTTTCTGCAAGTATATTTCTATCCATTTTGAATCACTTCATGGAAATATGTTTACGCTTTAGATTTATTTTAGAATTGGATTGGTGTTAACGTTACAAAATCAGTATGCATATTGCATACTTTTAAATTATTATTGTTCTTTTCTTTTCTCTATATTATTTGCGATAGCAATTTAGAACTATGTCCACTGAAACTGTAGTAGGTGATACCTTAGTCACTTCAATGGATGCCTTATTGATCTGTGCTGAGGAATGAGATGAAATAAATATTCACATTAAGCATGGGTGCTGAAAATGTCCCAGGACCCCCCCAAAAAAATGTTATTCAGAAGGGGAACCAACTCCTCTACCATAATTTACTGCATCCGGATATAGTTGATAAGCTGCAGCATTTTTTTCCATTATTGTGCATCATATGCATAAACCAATTGCTGACTTACCGTTACTAAATCTGCTTATGTACTTGACCTAGAGGTTCATTGCTCGTAGTCGCTTATCATATAGAAGAGTGGTGAGAATATATTTTTTGGATAGGTCATTACTTCTGCCAATGTTCATAACTTTGCATAATCGGTATGCTTTCGTTTTTAAAACTTCAAATTTTCTTTTGTCTACTTCTCTATTCATAGATATGAAATGACAAGGATAATAAGGTAATGTTCAATGACAATGCATGATTTCTAACTTAACGAATATTTTTGTTTTTTGGTAGCACTACAATTGATTCCTACGGTATTTTAAAATTTTGGAGCGTATGTGATTGCAACTTGTTTTTCCATCGTTTCTGAATTCAGATGTTGAGTATTTCTTTTTGGTCACTGAGACGTGAAGTATATCGATTTAGGAATATTGAGTAACACGCTTGCAGCGTCACTGGTGATAGAATCATTGTAGAAACTTACTGTTGAAAACCACTTGGGACCCCTCACCATCATCAATATTTGTGAGTTCTGTAACTTTTAGGAACTGCTTTGTTGAATCCTTGGGTTTTAGCTTTTCTGTGATATAATATGGATTGCCGAGTCTCGTGGTAATAGGTAGGATTGCCAAACATGAGAATGTGTTTTAATTTTGAGAGAGAGCAACTTTGTGCAAAGAATGCTGCAACGTTAGATTTGACAATTGACTTTGTTCACTTAATTGGTAATGATTATTCTGCTCTGTTTGTTTGCTGAGATCGTAGGAAAAGATTCAAGATTTATGATATCTGAATTTCATTTTGCTCGATTAGCTTGTAGACTTTATTGTTTGATTTATAGAGGTGTAATCACAAAAATTAAGCTTATATATATATATATATATATATATATATTTGTAAAACTAAGTCTTAACTACGTCCTTTTAGACCAAATTTCTAATGCAAATGTTACGACTAAAATTATGTCGCTTTGGGTTCTTAGAAAATATAACAAATTCAACAAAATAAACATTTTAAATTATCAAAATGGGTCTGTAGTGAATCCTACTAGATCTAATAAAATTTGACTCATTCTGAAGGGATATCCTTTAGGGTTGGGCTTCCCTCGTTATTTGGACATGTAAGGTTCACGAATTATATTTTGATAATATGAACAATTCATTTTATAGTATTTTTTGTGTATATTATCTATACAAAAAAAATAAGTCGATTCAATTATTGTAACTTATTTAATTTATCACATTTATTCTAAAAAAAATAAATTTCAAGTGTATTTTTAAAAATAGATAATTTTTTTAATGACAAGCTCAATAAATTAAATAAGTTACAATTATTAAGTTAATTTTTTGTAAATAATATGCATGACAAATTTTATAAAATAAATTATTTGATTTATCCCAATAAAATCATAAGAAATCCCTAGAATCCAAACCGCACCTTCCAAAATTCGGATCTGGCAATCTAGATCCACTCCGTTAAATGGTGAGACTGAATACGCCGCCCACATAGGGGTGTTTGTTTCAGCTTTTCAGAGTTAACTTATAACTTTTAGCTTTGAAAAAGTTATTTTGGACTGTTTGGTTAAACTTATTTCAAACAGTTTCTAATTCTAACAGCTTATTTTAACTCAAAAAAGCTGATTCTGAGAAGCTGCTCACCTGTTGCTTCTGATTATCAGCTTCTGCTGTGGACATATTAATTTATGGTTATACTCTTAAATTTTTTTATTTTTTATTTTTTATTTTTTTCAAAAATAGAAAAAGACTCAAATGGACTATAGATTATTATTATTATTTTTTATGAGAAATGTAGACAAACAAAAAATAAAAATTAATTGAAAAAGCTATTTCACAGCTTATTTAACGAACACTACTCAGCAACTTAAATCTATAATCCAACAGCTACACTAAACAGATTAACAACTTCTGATTAAAGTCATAATGTATAATCTGTTAAGTTATAATGTATAAATTGTTTTAACAGCTACACCAAACGGGGCCATAATACGACAATGTAAAAATGCTTTAGAGCTCTAATATAGGAGCTCTAATAGCTCTAATGGGAAGGTGGGTCCTACCCTGATGTGATGTTTGTGCCTTGTTTTGTTTTATTTATTTATTTTTTTTACTTTGACACATCATTAGAGCTCAAATTAGAGCTCTATATTTAGAGCTCTCTATCATTTCCCGTTAGGGCGGTTCCTCCTAGGATTTGTTTTCTATCTCTATCTATCTGTCTGTCTAGAAAAATATTAGGAATTATAAATGTTTTTTCAAATATTAAAAGGTGTTTAGAAAAAATAATTAAAAATTATTTTTTTGATTTTTTTAAAAAAATTTTTTGAGAAAGAAAAGTAGGCTAAAAATTAGGAAGTGACTTATAAGTCATTTTTTAAAATAGGCCTAAATATGGCAAGACTCATATCATGTAAATTCTAAATAAATTCCAGACATTTAATAAAATATTTAGAATTTCTGACATTACTCATCTATCTATCTAGAAAAATATTATGGACTCCAAATAAATTATCAAATAAATTATCAAACCTTTTGCATGAATATAAAATCTACACATATATGATTTCCCACACCCATATAAAAAATTTAATAATTTATTTGAAATCTCTAACATAACTTATCTATCTATCTAATATACACACAAAAAAATGTCAAATACTTCTTTGTTAGTGAGATGACAAGGGCATCGGTCCTACTAATGGGAGTCCCTTTTTTATATTAGGGATATTGCAATTGAGATTTTTATGAAATATTTATAATTTTAATTATTAAAATTAATAATTTTTATCACTGATTTAAATTTGTTTTTTAAAAACTTTCACTAAATTGCAATGTTTCTTTTAATATTTTAAGATGAGAACAAGATCATCACTGTCATTCATTATAATTTTGACCAATTATGTTCGGCTCGCTAGCATGTGTTTAGAATTTTGAACTTTTTAAATAATTTATTTTAGTCTTTAATAATAACTAAAAAAATTCAAAATCTTTGCTTTTGTTCTACATGGATTTGAAAAGTGAAAAATAAATAGAAAATTTAAGAAAATTCTATTAAAGATAAAGACAAAGACAACAATAGTTGATATTTTTAGCTTCTTTTTTTTTAAAAAAAAAAGAAAAAATCCTTACTAGACCCCAAATTTTTTTAAAAAAATAATAATACAAATTAAAAAAAAAAAATCACCAAAAACAAAAACTAAAACTAAAACTAGAAAATAATGTGACTTTTTCTTAGTTGGATCACAAACCACTATTAATGTGATGCATTTGAATAATCTTTTTCAAAACAATACATAAAATTTCAAAGGGTGGGTAGAGTATGAACGGAAACTATTTTTCAATGACAAAATGTCACCCTAATAATAAGGGCGACCTGGACTCTATTAACATGGGTGACTTTTTGTTATTGAACTCTTGGAACGCCGCTAGTATTACGCAAACTAACAAAATACTACAAATTACTGTATCACTTATTAAGTACATTCTTTTTAAATCATAAAAAAAGAAATATGAAACACTATTTTGTGTTGTAAAGAAATGCTTGCATTTTCACCAAAGTCAAGTTCCAAGTGTGAGGATGTATTTTCTGAATACCAACACGTGACAAGGTGACGCCGACGTGTCAGTCGAAGTGCCACGTGTCCTGATTGTGACGCCGAGGTTACCTCAGCGAGGCCGAAGTTATCTCCGAAGATATCGGAATCCGAGATAAACGGATAATGGATAAGGGGCAAGAGTCCTAGAGTAAAGAGAAGACTTTGTTAAGATAAGGATAAAGCTCTTAGGGAGTTTATCTTTATCTCTTGAGAAATCCAAAGTAAGTACAAAATTGGAGTCCATAGAAGTCAAGCTTCTAGTAGGACTAGGATTGAGTAAATTATAAAAGAGAGGCACCCCCATGGGTCTAAGATACGCAATTTTATGCTTTGAGCAGTAAGTTTTGCACTTGATTATCTTTGAAAGATATACTGACTTGATCGTCGGAGTGCCCCCGGGTGGAAGAACCACCGCCGGAGCCTTCTCTTTCTGTGCAGGACAGCAAGGTGCCATCTATTCTTCCTGTGTTCTACAGCTGAATTACTAAGGAGGGCAGTGTGATCGGAAAATCACTCACACAATTTGGCGCCGTCTGTGGGAAAAAAGAAGAATAGATGGCCAGTAACGGATAGAAGTAAAAGATTGGGGACGACACTCCTGCTGGGAATAGCAAACCTATCGATCTTGATATCGAATGAGACAACCACAATACAGAAACTCGTGACCAGGGCCACGGGGAGAAAGACATCGGCCAGGAAGGCGACACCTCGAAGAAGACAGATCAAAGCAAGTACTATAACGAAGATAACCTCCAGGTATGGAGGGATAGATGCCTACGTAAGGATGAAGAAGTAAAAGAATTAGCAAACAAGTTGGCAGACCTGTAGTCGGTCGTCAACTTTATGATGCAGAACAATGTCATGCAGCCACCATACCCGCTGCAGGACA